ACAGTTGGTTATTACCAAATCTGAGAGAGTACATTTGGCATGGGAAATAGTTATTCATATAATTCTTATAATTCATATAATTCTAACAGGTTGTTTCATTTCAGTCCATGTCTGATTTCACTAGTGGAACTGTCCAAGTAACAGAAGCTCTGCTTGTCCACCAGGGTTGGTCACTGAATGGATTTTCCTACTGCTACAGAAGGAAATATGTTTTATAGAAAAGCTTTTTCATGTATTTTGTGCATTTTTTATTCTGCTACTTAACTTGAATATGGTTTCCAGTCTGTAGATTGTCTGCAACTTATATGTACTAAGAGAGAAAAGTTATTTGCTACCAGGCAATTCTTCTCGAACACAAATACAACTATGTATTGATTTTGGTGAGCTGATTTACTTTCCTTAGGGTGGTAATCAATAAATAGAAAGATGATATTATACTGTGCAGTGAAGCTGTGCTCAGCCACACTTTAATCTCATATATTTATGCAAAATAAAAATCCCAACCAAAGATTTACAGGAATAATCATGATTTGATAAGATTATTTTAATTTGAAACAGCAACAATAAGATCTAGCAATACAATTGAAACAAATCCCTCCTAGAGAAATCTACTACAAATAGAATAGTTGAAATCCAGCATTGAAACACCTGGAGAGAGGGAAGATCGAAAGAGAAACAGGAAAAATTAAGCAGGTAAAAACATGAGCAGCTGGGGAGAAAAAGAGAAACAAAATAACAGTTGATGAGAGACAGGAAAGAAAAAAAAAAAAGCACATTTTGTTCAAAACCTGTTATTACCAAGAAACAATTTTCAGTGTGGCTAAAAATCATGTTTAACAACAAACCACGGCTTAATTCATTAAACACCCAAAAGCCTTGAACTTCTCTCCTTGGAGGTCAGTGAAAATAGTTTTAATCCTGTACTTTTTTCCTGTTACATTGTATAAAATTTAAATTATTTTTATTTCAAACAAATGATTATATTTATCTGCTTTTTGATGGGTAAATTATTGGTAATCATGGAAAATAAACCACAGTGAACAAATAATCTTAGTATATGGGACAGATTGTCCCCAGCATGCTCCTGGATACTGATTTGCTCATTATACATTTTAATAGAATAATTTCCTAATAATTTGATATAAAAATATACCTGTATTTTTAAGGATTAATAATTGAGCTCAGGAAATATTACCTATTGGCCACAGGATCTGTTACATGATTGACTTTTTCCTTGTCCCAGAGATTCCTGAAGAAGCCAAGGCAGATCCATGTTTGACCCTGTGCATCACAGGATTATGGTTTGCCCATGGCTCCTTTGTGCTGACATAAATACCCCATGGTTTGACTAACACCACTATTAAAAGTGATAAAATCGCCTTAATTCCACTTCTCTCTTCTGTCCATTCCACTGGCTGCTCTTCTGCAGCTCAGATTAGGTATGGATTTGCCTTTTTTTAAGAAGTACCATTCCATTTGAGATTAGTTGAAACAGATGCAGCAGTAGGGTAGAGCATTTCTGATCTGCTCCAGGGTATCTAAAGCAGACACTTCCCTCATTCCTCATGCAGAATCCACTCCCAGCTTTAAAGACCTCTCAGGGAAGCCTCCTGATGATTCTTCTCATTTGATCTCTAAGAAACAAAGAGGGAGAAAAAACCCCACAACAAAACCAACCCAAATTTTTCTGTCCTTTCCTCCCTTTAGGAATAATTGTGGGGTCTAAGTGTGGCTCTGGGGGATGGGATGTACTTTGTATAACTGGAACATCTTAATGCATCTCTACACATCTTAGTTATGCTGGATTTTAGTTTCAGAGTGCTTCCCAAAGAAGCAAGGGGACTTGAATCATTAGAAATACCTGACTAGGTGCTGTGTGACTGGTAGGAAATATTTTTTCTAGAAAACAAGTGGTTTCAATAGTAAGAACTCATACAAAATGTCTATTAAAAAAAATAACAAATAAAAAATCAATAACAACACAAACAAAACCGAAAATGCCCAACCAAAAGCAGTGACAAGGTAAATCTAACTTCTATCAGAAGCAATTAAGATGCAAAATTGTTGATTAACAAGCACATGTTGGTTTCCTCATGCAGAAGCTCTGTTAGTTCTGTAAATGCTGCACTGCTCATGGGTTTCTGCAGAGGCAGGATTTGTGGCCATCCTTTATAGGAATGGAATCTGGAAGTTTTCTGCCCCTCAGCTCTCCCTCCTGGCATTTCTGAGAGCAGCAGGGCAGCTGTCAATGATGATCAAACATCCTGCAGGAGGGCCAGAGAGGGAATCGTGTCCATGGGAGGAACAGCCGGACTCTGCCAATGGACAGAGCCTGGAGGAGAGCACAGGCAGCAGCAGCAAATCCTGTCAGTGCTGGGGAGCCAAAGGCAACCAGGGGAGGTACAGTTTAAAAACCTCTTTTTTGTCATGTGATGTGTCAGAAAGGTGCAAAGACACTTATCTTTATACACAGCATACCCTTCTCTGGGATTTTTTTTGCCTTTTCTACAAAAAATGCATTTTTCTTTAATATACCAGGTTGAGGGCTAAAAAGGAATTTTTGTTTGTGTGTTTTGTTTTAGCAAAGGACCTCAGTGAGGGGAAGAGTAAAGTTCAATAGCTATTTTATGTCAAAATGAGTACTGCTTTGTCAAGATGTGTATCATACCAGTACCTAACCCTGATTATTAATTACTGGAATAACCAGTTCCCAATATGGTAGGGCTTTAAGCAGGAGCCAGGGATCACAGCAATGGACAGTGAGATGGAGAGAGACAATCCTCAATGTCTCTGTGCATCACACTTTATTGGCCTTGTGGCCAGTTACAGAGTGCCTGCATGCTGATCCTGGGGGAAAAATATTTTTAGACATGTTAAATGAAGCATAATAGTGCTGTTTATTCTTTAAAGGACCAGAAGTACCCATAGCACTTTACAGATGTGTACCAAAGCAAAGTTCCTGCCCTTGTAAGCAAGCACCTGATGCACAAGAAATCATTTAACTCTGGACTAACTAGCAACAGCTACCTGGAAACGGCAGAGGGAAGGAAAGAAACCCTCCTTAGTTTCTTTCATTAGCTACACTAAAATAACACAGCATTTCAGCAGTAGTTGGTTATCTGTAGCAGGACAAAAAGATACTCTTGGCCATCCTGCAGGTTTGGTTGTTTTTCCACTAATTAGAATTAAATTTATATATATAGGTTACACATTAAATTGGCCATTCTATGCCTTGCAACAAGGCTTTATCACCAAATTAAGAAACAATTCATGTATGTTTTCATCTGCAGAGACAACACCCTAAGTGAATCATTTATGCAAAGGCACATGCCATCCTTAAATAAGTTCTCAATGCACAGATATATACTTGGAGTACATATACACTTATTAAATTTTATTTTGGACTCTCCTGAGCACTTGTGCTGCTCGTGTTGCTTTATAGCTTGTGTGACAACATGACTTCTGCACCCTTAGGCAATCCAGGGAGAGAATTCAGACAGCTGCTTATCCTCAATTCACTGTCAACAGGGTTTGTTTCCTCACAATTCCCCAATCAGTTGTTTAGGAACTTGTGCTGTTGAGTATTGCTAACTTTAGAAGGAAAGTGTAGGGGTTTTTTCAAAGCACCAAAGGCATGTTAACTTCTGAGCAGAGCTCTGAGTGCTGTGCAGTGTCCCCTTCATGTGGAGTCATGCAATAGCTACAACAAAGCCTCCTGCTGCAGAGGTAGCACACAGCAGTGCCAGTTTCCATGTTCAGGAACATTTAGGTCATAGTCCAAAATCTATACATATCTTTCTTTGCACACTCACAAACTTTTTAAGAATAATTTCCTTTATGATTTTCATAAAGCTGCCATAATTTATTAGCAGAAGGCATTTATTATTCTGCCCAAGTGAACACTTGTTTCATTAGATGTTTCAACTGATGTTATTGATTTAATTTGATTTGATATGTGACTACTCTTGGAAAACCTACAAAATTTGTATAAACAGATTCCAAAAAGTTTCTTTTAGGCTTCCTAGTCCATTTGGGTCATCAAAATAGACAAAAGATCAAGAAAGTGTCCTTGAAGTAGCTGGATTTTTATGCAGGCACAAAGCAGATATAGTGGTGATGAAGCTACAATTTCTGAAGAATTTTTAAAGCACTTCCCAAACTTGTGGAGACCATCTCTGAAATGCATCAGGACTTATCCATGTGCAGGTCCCCTGTACTTCTTGAAACAACTGGTCCTGTGTCTGGGGAGGCATGAACTGGGAGCTTTTGTCCATGGAGAAGGATGAAAACATGGAGAAAGAGGATAAGGCTTGAAGTAATTTCTTTTCATCCTACTGAAAGTCTGGAGCAACCTCAGAGTAACTGAGTCACTGGGTTATATTAGTCATTTTCTTTAGTAATCGGTTTATAATTTTCATTTCTGGTAATTTTAATCCTGTGAACATTGCCTTCCTGGCTGGTCACATTAATCAAGGAGAACTCATGATGTTCAGGCACTTGTGATACAATGATTTCATGGAGACCAGGCAGCTCATTTAATTAGAGAAAGATTATTTATTATTATTATTATTATTATTATTATTAGTAGTAGTAGTAGTAGTAGTAGTAGTAGTACTAGTAGTAGTAGTAGTAGCAGTAGTAGTAGTAGTACTGACATCCAACTACTCATTTAAGTAGTAAGGTCCAAAGCTTAAATGCTCTCAAGTCCAGGGTTTGCCTGTATGAATTGAACTGTATATCAGGCTGGTGGTACCAGGAGCTGGAAGCATCAAGGTTTTGGTTCATTTTTTTAGGTCTGATATTTTTTGTTCATCTTCTATTATTACAAAAGCTGTCAAGTTTTTATTCTTCCCATCCATTTTAAAGACAACTCAAGATTGCTTGCTGATTTCCCTAGCAGAGATCCAAAGAGTTTTTAGAAGAAATGGGAAGATAACCTGGTAGCATACACTGCTGTTGTAAATGATGCTTTTCCTCCTTTTTTTTTGTCTTTCAGACTTCTTTTAAAGAGAAGTGGACTGTAGGTCTTTCATAACCTCAGGCAGGACACTCAAATCCACAAATGATGTGCATGACTGGCCCCAAAGTCTAAGTGCTTTTAAATTGTTCATAAACTGTGTGGCAATGCAGCAGTGAGCAGAGATGTTACCTTAGGAGGAGCTGACTAAAGAAACCTCCACAGAGTAAGCACAGTCTTGCTAACTACACCTGTAAGGACAGATTATTACTGCTAGCAAACAATTTGTTTTTCCATAAAATAATTTACTTTTTAGGCAGAAAAACTCTCCAATGTTAAAAATTCTCTAAGGAGGTATAAAGACTTAATAAAACAAATTGAATGTAGTACAGTATAATTGGGAACTACTACTTGTAATATATATCTATTAGCTCTAATGCCTAAAAATATCTGTCAGAGACTGCTCCAAACTTCAGTCATTTAGAATAATATGTAAGTTATACCTTGTCCCACTGTGGAAGATATCATCCCAAGCCATGTAAATTTAATTATGGCTAAATCCAATATCTTGCACAGAAATCAGTGCGCTGCACTGATTACAAAATTGATGGAATCCAACAAGACATATTTTCTATATTCCATGCCACTAGTTTTCTAGTATAATCTCAAGTGAAATATGCTGCAATAGTCGTTTTAGTAATGTAAAGGAAGAAATCAGTGCTGCCAATTCACAATATTAAACAATCCTTAATGCCTTTCTTAAAAAATGTTAGCAGGAGGAATGGAAATGCAAAAAAAAATCTGGAGTCCAAAGTAACTTTAACACAGGGTGACAATGTTCTGTCTGTAATGTTTGGTACTTCTTTAATTGCTTCTGTTCATGGTCTTCTGTCCCTCACCTGTGGTAATTAGTGTGTGTATCCCATTCTGTGGAAAGGAATATTTAGAAATAAATGCCTTGTTCACCTTCTGTGTCTTTTTGATACCACAGGGTAAGCAAGTGTGCCTCACATCCTCTTGTTTAATTTTAAAGGTTGGAAAATACTTGTCTTCAGTAAAAGAAAGTGGTATTAGTAATGCTAGGCAGTAGAGCCCAGAAACTTCCCTGGGGGTTTTCACGGGCCATTGGGAGCAAATGCCCAGCTTGCAGGTCAAAATCCACAGCAGTGCTAGAACCTATGTACATAAAATCTGTTGTGCTCCATTGAACACTGTATTTCTCCTGTCTTGTTTTGACATTACTCACAGTGAAACAGCCAAATCAATCTAGATGAACTCAATCCTTTCTGGGCAGAAAGCAAGAAAACTGTTCAAATATGTTACTTTGTGAGGATTTGTAACACTCAAAAAAATGTATGGAGATGGTGGTTCTTGTGAAAGAAGGGCAAAAATTCTGTTTCAAAATGAATAAATAATTCTCTGCTAGGATTCAGCTAGGAGATTTTGTTTATCTTTCAGGGGAAACAGTATTGGCAATTATAGCCAGGTTTTATCCTTTTGCTAACTTTCCTTTTCAAGGTGCTGCAACTTCTTTTAAACTTCCAGGTGGACACGTGAAGTCTTTTCATGCCAGGATTTTATGTTGTGAAAGTGACTTTTTGACATCTGTGAGCAAGCTGGAGGTGTTTAAGAAACAAAGAATGAGGTAGGAAAAAGTGGGGCACTATTCTGCTCCCCCACAGATAAGCAGTAGAGGTTCTCTCATACTTCCATATTTTCTTCCAAGAGAAAACAAGCACAGAAGCACTTGCTAAGCACTGTGCACTGAGCTGTCACCTTCAATGTACCTTTGAAATGCTGGCTGTTTCTTAAAGGGGAAGATGGAAAACAGAAAGTGTATAGTTTCATTCGTGGAGACTTTGTCAGGAAGTGCTGCTGTGATATGATTTCTGTCAGAAACAATCTGCTTGAAATTTTTCTGTCTTTACTTTTGAACACGGAGTTGCTTGTCTGTATTCTAACCCTAGGTGATGGGATCTGCTGCCTTGTCAGATAACATTTGAGTTCACTCACTACCTGCTTGTTGACTAGTGCACAGACTCACTGTGGTGGCAGGGAAAGCCTTAAGGCTACTCAGCATCTGTCTCTTCTTGTAATTAGTTGCAGCCTTGTGTACAGAGCAAAACAGAGATTTTTATTTTTTTTATATATATATATATCTATTTATTTATTTTTCTGTGAAATAGTAATGTGCACAGACAGGAGCTTTTAAATTGTAAAAGGTTTAACCGGTGTTTGTCATTCTTTTTCAAGAGGAAATAGCTTTTTATGTACTGAGGAGAAAGTGTTGAAGTCCTTTTTTTCAAATTACACCGACATAGGACATAGATTTTTGGGAGAGTTAAGCTCTACATGAAATCTGAACAGCCAATATTTCTACTCTTCTGTCTGGTGGAGCCCACACTCACAGGAGAATGGGGTGAGAATTGGTGATTATGCTTCCTTAGACTCCTGCCCTGCTGATTTTGCTGCCCCATGTGTGCTTTGCCAGCAGTCTGACAATTTGCATACATTTTAAGCATCCCAATGCTCCCAACCCTGAATCCTATTCAGAGAGGCCTTCTTGGATGAAACTTAATAAAGAAACCTAACTTGAAGAAAAGACACTTTGAATCTTAGAATGCTTTCTTCTCAAAATAAGACAACAGCTGTATAAAGTTAGAAAGTAAGAGTGTGTATGCCTGGGATTTATTTTGATTTTCATAAAGTGTCACAATTAACAGAGCTGCTTGTAGTAATTTGGTGGGAGAGTGGGAGACATATTTTGGATTGTTAGAAGGATTTGAGCTGTTGCTGTAGATCTGAATTTCTTGAAGCACCAGATTTTTTTTAATGTAAAAATTTATGGAGAAAAAAAGCTGTTCATTGTGGTCATTCTTAAAATTTATAAAACAGGTGAGCAGGAGGTTGATGTAACAATGAATATATCACCAGTCAAGGTGTAGACCACCCCTAACTAATAGTGATGGCAGCAAATTTTGTGGAGAGGAAAATCATTCCCTAATTGCTTGTAGCTGAATTTCTTCTGGAGCAACCACCACCAGCAGTGGGACTTGATGGATGGAAGTGTTCCTATGGTAGTCTTTAAATATCAGATTTTCAAAGACCTTATCTTTGACAGCAATAAGATTTATTACATGAACAAGGAAAATCAAATTTCTTCTGTACTACACTGCTTCCCTTTATCAGAATAATCCTATGTGAGCCATCATTTGGGTGCTTTTTCTCTTTTCATTCTCATTTGAATGAACAAAATGCCTTTGGGCTTGCATAAGTAATGTAAGAGCAACTGCATTATTTTAAAAATCAGTTCCTCAGATTAAAGTGTCACAAAAACACTCCTAACTTTATTATCTAGTGGAAATTTTTGTACTTGACAGCTGAGCTGGGTTAGCCTTTTCACTTAATATTTTGAGGTGATTGAGGGTTTGGATGTGCAGCAGTGAAGACAAAAAGATCTCTAGATGGTGTTGTGTAGGTATCAGATTGAAATAAGAATAATAAAGTGAAAAAGCTTGATTTCCTTTTAAAATAGCAGGTGGCATTTGCTAAGTTCCTCAGGACTCAAGGAGTGTTTTCAAAGGGTGACTTGGATATGGGAGCCAAGACTTATCTTAAACCAGTGGGAAACTTGGGAGAGTTTTAATCTGTCCTGGCTTCTCGGTGTGTCCTGAGCTGTGGCACTGGCAGCAGCGTGCTGTGACAACTGTGCTCTGTGACTAGAGAAATAAGATTCCAAACAACCAGGCTGCAATAAATACATTTGGATCTCGCTTTTAGAACAACTCATTTCTAAGGAGCTCAACCACAGTGGGCTCAGAAGTTTCAGAAATTCATCCTGAACTTAAAATCAGTTAGCAAGAACTGAAAAAAGAAGGGTAGAGAGTACAGAACTAAAGACTCAAAGAGAGTGAAAAAACATATCTAAGACCAGACAAAGCAGAAGATAAATAAAAGGAGATAATATTTTAAAAACCCCAAAGAACAACTAATAACAAAACCAGGGAAAGCAAACAACCAACAATAAAAAACAAGCCAATTCATATAAAGCTCCTGCAATACTCTGTCCCGTTCATCACAGCTGCTTTACCCTTCAAGGATGCTGTGGCAGTAACAGGGACATCCCTTAGGCTGCTAAATGGAAAAAGAGGAAATATTAAAACTTGGTTTGGTGGGGTTTACTATTGGCTAATTAAATTATTTTTTCTACTTTTTATTTTGTTCCCCTTAATGTGACTTTCATTAGAGATCCATTGTACCAATATTTTATAATGTGCCATTTCCGGGCAAAATTATTAAATATGTATTATAGTTAGAAGTAAATATGCAGAAAAATATAAATGTCTACTATCTCTGACATTGCTTCTCAGTATCACTCCACTTTTAAATATAGGCACAGAGCTCTCTGCTATTTATTAACATCTGTCTCCTTCATTTCAAGGAAAATATTTCTGTCATATTATTAATACTGATTTTATCTTCCTGATATTTTGACAGTAATATTTAGCTTTCAACAGAACTTTTCTCTCTACAACTGCAGAGGACTTGATAAATCAAGGTAGTATCTTGTTTTTTATGGAGGGGAAACCTGAGACAAAGATAAATTAAATTATTCATCAAAAGCTAGCAGCAAACAAAGTCCCTGGGCAACCTGTTCCAGTGAGCACCCTGACAGTGAAACTTTTCTTCTCACATGAAATCTGAATCTCCCCTGTCTCAGTATAAGGCCATTTCCTCAACATTGTCAGGCACTTGTGGAGAGGGACATATTCCTCCTGAGCCTCCTCCAGCCTAAACACACCCAGGATTTGTTTTCTAAACCCTTTGTGAGCCTTGTTTTCCCCTCTCTGGGGAAAACACATCTTTGGTGTCCCACAAAAACACATCCCATATCTTTGGTGGGATGAGAGCACTCTGTTATCCTTTAAAATATTCCCATTCTAACAGAAGGTAAAGAAAGTGGTGTGTAATGACATATGTGAAATAATGTCCCTATGAGCTTGAGCTGTGAGTGTGCACTTGGGGAATGCAGGGAAGCTGAAAACACACCCTCACGGAGGGGATTGTGGAAGAACTGCATCAGGAGTGCAAAGGTCAGCTCAGATCAACTGCACTTACCTAAAGAATCTGAGCTATATAGTAATATATACATATAAATATAGTAATTTATTTTATAATTCTATTGTATATTCATATTTTTATATTTATTTTTATATTTTGATTTATTTTTATATTTTTATATATTTTATATTTTTAATGTATTTTTATAAATTTTATATTTATATATATTTAGATATTTAGATACATATTTATATATATTTATATATAAATATATAAATATATTTTATATATTTATATTTTTATATTTCATATATTTATATTTTTATATATTAATACAGTAATATATATTGTAATATATATCTGAGCTAATAGTAAAGTGCAGTTAGCTGAAGAATCTGAGCTATATAGTAATATATATTAACATAGATATTTTATATTCATATTTTTATCTTTATTCGTATAAACTTTTATATTTATATTTTATATATTTACATATATATATTTGTATTTACATAAATATATTTATATATATTTATATTTTTATATATTATTATAGTAATATATATCATAATATCTATCTCAGCTAATAGTAAAGTGCAGTTAGCTAAAGAATCTGAGCTATATAATATATATAAATATATATATTATATTCATATTTTATATTCATATTTGAATGTTTATTTATATATTTATATATAAATATATATTTATATTTCATATTTTATATATATTTATAATTCTATTTATAATTATATATATATTTATAAGTTTTATATATTAATATAGTCATATATATCATAATATGTATCTGAGCTAATAGTAAAGTGCAGATAGCTAAATTCTACATTCTACATTCTACATACAGCTGAAGAACATGGTTTAGGCTATGGTAGGGTGTGTCCTGGCCTTTGCAACATGTTCACTGCACACATTTGGGTATCCTTCAATAAGATATAAATCTCAGGGAGTTCAGGAAATGTCACTATAATAACATGTAAATTATCTTCTTATATAAACAGAGTTTATATAAACATGAGATTTGTTTTCAGTATTTGTGTTGTCTTTGCTCTGCTCCCTAGCAGTGTTATAAGGTGTCCTTAAACAGAAGATGCAAGGTGTAAACTAAGTGAGGATACACCTTGGAATGAGGGATAAACTGTGTTTCTGTTTCAGCTTGGCACTGCAGGAATAATAATAATATTAATAATATTGATAATAATAATATTGATAATAATATTAATATTAATATTATTAATAATAATAATAATAATAATAATAATAATAATAATAATAATAATAGCAGCAGCAGTGCCCACAGGTAGGAATCCAGTGTTATGCCTGGAAGATTTAAGGAGATATAGAATGTTTCAAAGTAAAGTTTTCTTCAGTACATTAGAAAATTATGAATGAAAGATGATGATTTTTTTCATAATTTTGAAATGTGGATACCAACACAAAAATCACTTGGGCAGTACAAAAGAATTTTGAAAAGTTTGTTCTAGCAGCAGAAGATATTTCTCATTATTTTCATGTCACTTGCTTGGTTGAGCCTATGGTAATATCTGTATATACAATATCTGACAAATATTAGTAATTCCATGAAAATAAACATTTAAGATTCCAGGTAACAAAACCAGGGTTCAGGGAAATATGTAAAAGCAGAAATAGTGTCACCAAATATATACCTCAGAGAGAATTACATGCAATTTCTTTTTTTTTTTTTTCCCTGATTCATACCATTCCATTTCCAAATTATATCTGGTTTTCTCCAACAAATATTGTACCTTAAAGACCTTCAAAGTCTTTCATTTCTGTGATGCTCTTTTTTTTTTCCTGCACCAAAAACCTCAGTTAAATATACTTTTCTGAGCATCCACCACAGTAAAAGATATTTTAAGGACATTTAAGTTCAATTCTCTGCTTCTGGGTCACTACGCTCATACCCAGAAAGCAAAGTCTGTTGTTGCCTTCCATGCAGCATTTCCCTCTGAGCATTGTGGTTTCAGAACATGGGCCTAGAGCCAAAGGTTGGTACCTCAGCAGCAAAAATGGAGCAACTTGCCACCTGACTTCTTCAAGGAGGGATGTGGCTCAGCATCACTCCAGCCTTGATCAGTTCCTTTTCTTTAGCTTTTTTTAAATTACTTTTAGTAATACCTCTGGCTTGCACTTTCAGAAAATTGGTGTGTTTTTTTCAAAGCTGGACTCCAGCCATCCTCTCATGCCCATTCTGCAGCTGGGAGCATCGCTCTGAGCCAAGGGGGGCTGGTTTGGTGCTACCTTAGAGGGGAAACTGAATTTAAGCTGCAGCTGAGCACATTGGAATCACCTCAGCTGACAGCTCTGGGGGTGCCTCAAAGCACCTTTTAACAGCTCCTTGTCTGCTTCCTAGATTGCTGAAATATCTCTTTATATATTTATATTTATATATATCTATTTATACTTATATATATGCATACATATTATTTATATATATATGTATGTATCTATAATATCTTCTTTATACGTGTCTTGCTTGGTTTAAATTTTTTAATTAAAGGAACCATAAGTAGTCCTTTTTAAGGCTGAAATCATTAGGCTGACGAGATTTTTGCTTCCTCCTGCTCTCTGCAATTTGTTGCATCTGTGAATGCAGGCATTTATTTTATAGAAATGCTAATTTTTGTTTGTTTTCAGCACTGTTTGCATTCATATGGCAGCTCGTGGTCTTTGAGGAGGGGTGATGCACATACATCGTGTTTTCTAAACCATACACTACTTGAAACCTGTCCTGTGTGATCACCTGCTATTAAACCACAGATATTTTCCATCCTCAAACGTGTGCCCACAGCTCATAAAATAATCTCTTTGTGCCTCTCATATCCCATAAGATTACTGTGGTATTTGGAATTAAACACCAGAATATCACCTCCAACATTTTCAGTTATTCAGAATCCTCATTGGAAGCTGTTGCATAGTAGTTTTTTTATATATTACTTGTTATAATAGCAGAACTATTCCAGTAGGACACGATGACTGCAGCTTATTAAAAAATTATATGGATATCTGTGACAGAGTGGAAACCTGTTATATAGAGAAGGAGGGCTTGATACATGTCTTATTGTATTTCTGTATTAATGCAATCATAGAGGGTATTTTCTACAGAAAATGCTAAAGCTTATTGAAAGACAGTGAATGCTAACTATTTTAAACTGGGTTCCATTTAGGAGGATTCTAAATAAGTCAATTGATCTAGTAATATTTTAAATATTTTTTTTTAATTTTATAATTTATAAATTGATTTTCTTCAACATCATTTTTTGAGGGAAATGTCAATTTGTGTTTTTTTAATAATAATTAACTGTCTTCACTCCTCACACTTCAGGTTCCATGATTTTTTTTTCAGAATAGATGAATTGTATCATTTATGTAGTCAAGCTCTTGGGTATCCCCAAACTTGCATCAGTACAGCTCAAAAATCATAGCTGGGGGAGACGAGGAATGCATTTATAGCCATCAAACCCTATGGGTCACAGAAGTCTGAGATGTTTAGGAGCAGCAGGTGTTGGCTGAAGGCTGGAGACCAGGCAGAGCTCTGGGTTTGTTGGGACCAGTCTGGGGATCCTTGGTGGCTTTGCTGGGGTGATGATCTCACCTTTTATGGTTTAACGTGAAATATTCCAGGGGAAGGGCTGAGCATGAAACTGGTCATGTCTGCAAAGACATCTTCTGTTTGGGTGTGCAGGAATACACCTTCAGCTGTGCAGCTTAATGAAAAGTAACTCATTAAGCTGGGGGTTAACCAAAGCTGTAAAATCACAGCTTTAAAGTGAGCGTTTCATACGGGGCCATCTTTGCTCCAGTGCCTCAAGATCAGTCGGGACCTGCACCTCTGTTTTTCCAGCTCTAACTGATAAAGACTGTCTTTTCTCTATTACACATCACATTTACTCCTCAGAGATTAGCTTTAGGGATATGGATTTGTAAAATGAGTCTCTGAGCTGACATGACATATTACCATTTTCAGAACACAGTTCTGAAGAGAAAACTGCCTTTTCAAAATTCAGCTTCTCCATAAGAGAATGCTTTTCGTGAGAACATGTTCTTACACCTGGATTCAAATTCCAAGTGAAAATTAGAGGCACAAGTGTTCATATTCCTGAGTGCTGGCAATCTTACAGCTGTAAAAATTACAGTTGTGGCTGATAGCATTGCCTTATTCGACATTATTTAATGCCATAAAGAAATACTTTTGTCCCTTTCCTAAAAGAAGATAAATATTTTAAAAGTAAATAAAAATAGCTCTTCACACGTACATATTTCAATATTAATAATTATAAAATGCCTATCAGTGTAACCTTCTCATCCTAAATTGCTTTTCAGAGTCTGTTGTTTAACAAAGTCCAAATATGCAGTTTTATGCAATTTTTTTTATTAATTACATGTAGATAGATATATACAATAGAGTACAGAATGTGTTTGTGTTTACAACAAAAAGGATTTACCTTTTTGTGTGTCTTAGCAGCTTTAACATTAGAAGGTTGTTTATGTAAGGCCCTTACCACTGAAGTATAGAACTAAATGATTTCTTAAATTGTATCTAAAAACATAAATAAAATCTATACTTTGAGAATGCTAACCAATATAATTGTTTTCATCACCAAGCAATGGATTTTTCCAAGTCCACTTGTTTTCATTCCCAAATTGAAAGAATCCCCATATGTAGCATTCCCACAGTCAGATGTTTACAAGGGCATAAGGAATATAAAACAAAGACAATTTTTAGGATTTTGTTAAGACTCATGTTTATCACAGTGTGGACAAAAATGCAAAGAGAAGCATTTTCTTATCTATTCCTGTTACATTAGAAAAGTTCATGCCCCACTCTTAGCATTTTCCAACACAGCTGTAGAGTAGTTTAAAGCCTATTTTTTAAATAAGTGATGCTCAATTTGTCTTTGATGATCCGCATGATTCAGGTGAGATGGGAGCACGGTCGGGCCCTTATTTGCATAAAAATTAATCACAGAAAAATGTAAATTGATAAAATTTTGCCTGGCTTTTCCCCCCTATTCGGGAACCCATGGATGGCTCCCAGAAGCAATCATCTCAGTATGGTGCCGCGTTGGATGCTACACAAATGATCACATTTGTGTTGAATACTCACTCATTTAAATGTCAGCACTGATGGGGCGGTACATCACCAGGAAAAAAAAAAAAAAAAAAAAGAAAAATAAATACACAGCAGCTGAAGACCATCAAATCTGTGGGCACTCTTTAGAGATATATGATCTAATGTGAAAGAATTGGAGATTAATTATCCTTTTTTTTCAAAATGGTAATTGTTTTAGTATCGCGGCAGCAAAAAAAAAATCGGCAATTTATTTGGAATCAAACAAAAACCAGTAACGTTAAATACGTCATTACACCATTGTGTTTATTAGAAGGCTGTAATTAATTCCTGAGGCTCCTTTGGTCTCAAGGACTGCATAAAATGAAACAAAAGAGCATTGCTATTAATTTTCAAATACACTCTAAACCTGCAAATAATTTACCCAACAAAAAATAAAGTAAGTAACAATTCAGAATAAAAATTTTGTCGGGTTTTTATTTTTCTAAACTGTGTATTTGCACGACATTGCTGTCACATAATAGTACCTCATAATCCATTAGGAATTTCTCATCTTTCTAGAGGTAAGGAAGAATTTTCCTCATTTCATATATGTGTAACTGGAATATAGATATTGCAGAAAAAAATGCCAAATCCCCCAAGAGTGGGCAGCACCAAATTCACCCCGTCTTGTAGTTTTATATTAAAGTAGTAAATTTGCTTCTGCTTCCTCATGGTGTAAATTTCAAATAAGAGAGTAAATAAGTGGTTTGTGGTGGCTGTGGCTCCAAATTTATATTTCTAACTGAGATAAATCCAGCATAGAGCAAAGAAATGGCTGTTTACACTCCTTTCTTTTTTTTTTTTTTTTTTTTTTTTTTTTTTTTCCCCCTCTGCCTTTAAGAAGCAATTTCTAGAAAATTATAGCAACACAAGGATTTCTGTAATTTATAATCATCTGTAATAGGTCGGCCACAGTGCATTAGATCAGTGCATTAGATCTTCAGGGGCTGGAATTCAGTGTTTGAGCAATGCAGTCTGAGCCTGAGCTGAGAGGATAAATTTTAAAAGCCATTTATTAGGCCTGAATTGAGAGCTTTGAATATTAGTATAATAAATACTGTAGGTTAATTTTTTTTTCTCTTTGATCTCTTTACATTTATTTTTTTTTTATTTAGAGGGATCTGGCAGTAGTGGTTTATGTGATTTATCAGGGACGTGGCCCAACTGTAATTCACATGCCTTTATACCTTTCATTTACTCTGCAAGTATATTAAAATATTTATATCATACAAATTAAAAGAACCACTTTATCATCTTTTCACTGAACTACATCTGATGTTTTACAACAATTTTAAATGCAGAGCAGAGGTTCCACTTATAGCTAGAATAATGTATTTTATCATTTATTTTCTTTTGTTCTTGAAGTCCATGTTTCAGAATTTGGCTGCACTGAGATCAAGAACAGTTTTGTCAGCTGTTTCACCTCAGAAAATATTTCAGTAAGTGTATATATTGTTTATTTTCTGAAAATGTATAGGTAGTTGCAGTTTGGGCTGTAAGTAATTGTATTTATGTACTGTAAAGGACACTGTGGGAATATGTGATGGATGCAGGAGGCTTGTAGAGCATCTTAAAGCACAGGTGAGAATGTGGACAGCGGCTTTTGGTGTTGTTTAAAGGGTTTTGCAGGCCTTGTATGGATGAGAATTTAACCCTTAACTGGAGGACTGGGTGATTTTTAGGATTGCAATCCTTTGTTCAAGTTTCCAGCTGCCAATGCTGGCACTGATGTTGTACCCTTGTTTCTCACATATTTCATTTGAGCCCTTAGAGTGTTTCTGTCCCTGCTGGTCTCTTGGACATGCAGATCCTTCTCTTATTCTGCGCTGTGTAACAGCCTTGACCTCATTCCTACACATTCCCAACCACATTTAACTCTTAAATATTGATTGATATCAGCAACTGCTTACATATGTACTCTGGAGATAATCTGCAAGCAAAACCAGACCAAACTCGATGCAGCATGGTCCTGGGTTTGTGTTCCAAACTCTGTCAGCTCTCAGTGATGGAGAGGATTCTCCTTTCAGCCCTGCACAAGTGAGTTCATCATCACCTCTTGGAGTGGCCTCCCCACCCCAACCTTATAAACTGCATCTCTCCCTCAGCTGCCCTGGACTGCTCTAGTGAAGGTTAACTCAAGAAGTAAAAGGAAAATCTCAGATGTCCTTCCCTAAAGATTTTCTTTACTTATAAAAGGTAAAGGTTTTGGGTTTTTTTCTTTCCTTCTCCCTTAACCCCTGCACATAGAGTCCATATTACCTTACTTGGAGAAACATTTATAGTAACAGCATACACCAGATATGTGGAAAATACTATGGCTTACCAGTGGAAGTATTATTTTCCATCAGATTTCATGAAATTGCTATTTTTTATAAATATTAGACTTAACATATACAATTTCAATAAATTGGTTTTATTTAACTTAGTTTTCTTAAGATAAAGCCAATCTTTTCAAGCCTAATACAAAAAAGGGACAGTTCTGCTTACTTCTAGTTTACTCACTAAAGAGTCCTTGAAAATCTGATTATTCTTCTCTTACAGAATTCAGAGTGCAATTTTAAATACCAAGGTTTAAAACTTTAGTCTGTATTAAAACAAAAAGAATCTAAAGAGGAAGAAAAAATGTGTTATTGCCATGTGCAAAGTGAGTACCTGCAGAAGAGATTTAGTCCTTGGCAATAACAAGTCCTAATCTGCTCAATCTTTCATACATGTTTATTACAGACATGCTGATTGGGCTGATTTGGGTTCCCCAAAGTAATTATTATATACAATATCATATTTAAATGATATCCTGCAATGCATCTTGCACTTCATTGCAATACTAGAAAAAATATAGTTGCTTTTTTTAATAGAAGATGGAAGGGTCCTTTTTTATACCCTAAGATTTAATCCTTTATTTCATGTTTGACTCTCCACACAAGAAGAAATTCATGGTACTGTCCTTATGGAAGTGGAACCTTCTTATGAAAAATGGAAAAGAAGCAGGGCTTTTTTTAAAAGTAGTTATTTCATAGCTGGCTTAAAGACTTCATCATACCAAAAAGTCCTATCTGTGTCTTATTCAGAGTGCTTCAACTCAAATTACCAAGGGAAAAACAATGCTCTGGAATTCATTCTCCTGTCAGCAAGATCCAGTCCAAAGCATGGCTACCCTGATACTCTTCATATCCTATCGTGGAAACTTTGATGGGTTTTTATCCCCCCCTTTCCTCTGGTTGTTGTGAATATATGTCCCCAGCATGGCTTGTGGAAGTTTATTATTATATAAGGATGACAGATTGCATGAAATTACCCCTCTTCTTGGGAAAGGAAGCAAAGCAAGGTACTGTGAATGCATCAGGAATAGCCAGAATTCAGAAACTGGTTTAAAAAAAAAATAGACAGACACAAACTACTCTACTGCTCTAAAAAGGACTCTGGAAATGCAAAGTCACTGAGAATTATAAATACACTGTAGTTGTTTGACTATAAGGCAGCACTCAGTATAAAGTGATAAATGAATATAGGTATCTACTTGCTTCTCCCAAAATACTCAGTCTGTAACTACTTTTCCAGTAATAAATATTATATTGCATGAAAAATGGGTGAGCCACTGAAAAAAAGTAGAACTAAGAGAAGAACCTAGCTGTTATTTTGTGGTTGTTCTTGTTCATTTGTCAGAAACTGAAGATTGAAATAAACTGGTAGTGAAAGACTCCAGAAGGATATTTTGGATTTTTTTTTTTCCTGTATGCATCACAAACTATAAACACAAATTCTCCCTGCCCTGAGCAGGAACTTCAAAAATCTTCTTTGGTCCCTTTCACATAATCAGGTATGCTTAGGTATTTGTTTTTCAGGTTAGATGTCAGTAATGATAATATGTCTTAAGGAGAACAAGAACAAAAAAAAATAAAAATACATGAAGTCTGGCAGGAGCCTTGTCATTTCCAAAATAGCCAGAAAAAACTCATAATCCTGATTAAACCATGAATGCTGAGATGGATTCAGCTGGAGACCATATAAATTACAGAAGTTCCTTACTTCCAGCTGTAAATGATATCAATTTTGGTGAATGAATATCAGGGAGTTCAAAGGGTATTGACTAACCTGAGCCACTGAGTTCCTGACCCTCAAGCAGCCTGGCCAGCTTTTTCCCCTTTCAGTAGCCAAAAAAAGCTGTAGAACAGCCTCACATCATGGCATCATGTTCTCTGAGAGCTGTCCTGCTTGCTTTGAGAAGCAATCCTGTGGTTTTTTCATTTGGATGTGCTCTCTGTCATATCAATCAGCAAATTTTAGTACATTTACATCTTAGAGAGAACTGGGCACCTCAAAAAGCTCTCAGGTGAAGCCAGATCTTTCTCTCATTGAACAAAAGTCAGAGCAGCTTCCACCAGCACAGCAGAAGTGCAGTCTCCTACATCATTAATACTTCTTTTTCCCTTTGAAAGGTGCAAGCAAATGCAAATAAATCAGGCCAGGCTGTATTAATTCCAGCCAGTTTGTGATCAACATCAGCAGCCTGCTGCTGGAATTTGCCAAGCCCCTACCAGGGCTCAGCTAACTGGAGCAGATGTTTGCAAGAGGATCATTTTGGATGCATTGTTCCAATGTGGCTGCAGAGGCTGCAGTCAGCTACAGCTTGGTTCAGCCAAATTCAGAGTTTGAAGTTTGATTGCCATTGGGAAATTAGCTGACACTCCAGTTCAGTGTGTTTAAATGATTTTTAAGTCAAAACAATGTCACTGCCAGGAGGTCCCATCTTTCAGACAATTGGGAGATTGTGCACCAGCACAAGAACTCCAGCTGCTTTTGTCTTAAACAGCAGCCTAAATAAAAAGACTCACTATACACCTGACTTCTAACCTTTTAATAATTCACACATGTCAGATTTGCAGGCTGTACTGTGTAGTTCCATTCCCCTAATTACATGTTGTCTCACACTGATGCCATATACCTCCTTAAATCAGGAGCCACTTCTGAAAATTTAACCCAAATTATCTGCACAGTACTCTCCTGGCAGCTGTTTAGTTACATGCAATTCTCTTTCCCTGTTGACTTTTCTCTTTTAGCATCCCTTATCTATCCAAAACAAGTTCGTGAGAAATCAAAAATAAGGGATGGGATGTGTGATGTCCATTGATGGCAGGTGAGAGCTTTGTCCAGCTGCTAACTGGGAGGGTGTTCTGTGGAAAGGACAATTAAATGCACCCTGCTAAGATCAATATATTGACTTTGTGTGGGGAAAGTAAACTAGAGTGCACAGATTTTGTTTGGTTGGTTGTCTGTTTTGTTTATTTGCAGGAATTTCAAAAGAACGCTCGATTACAAAGTAAGGATTGGGATTTTTCTTCTGGGTCAAATGAAAACGTGATCAGTGTTACTGCTGCTAAATAAATTTCACAGATGCTAAACCTGGAAATAAAATTCTGATACTTTGTTTATAGTTTGCCTGGAGTTTTGTGATTTGCATACACACACCTTTGTGTGAAAGAGATTCAGGGAGACCTGCCAGCTACTCAAAGCGTGAGTAATTTCATTTCACTTTTTTTGGTAATGACTACTAAAAATAATAAAAAAAAAAAAAACAACAAACCCAAACGACTGTAACAGTGCAATCTGTAATAAACTGAACACACCAAAAGCAACTTTGTTCTCTGGCAGTGACTGGTTGAGCAGAGAGAAAAGCATCTGTCAGGAAGCTTTGTGTGAGTCACTATCTCCATCTAGTGCTGCCAGCAAGGAATTGGGCTGCTAAACCCTCCAGTGGTAGGAACACTGCAAACACAAGAGATTCTGTAATGATATAAAATTATTCTTTGTATAAATAGTTACTGTTTCAGTCATTAATTCATTATAGTTTAAAATATGTCAGCATTTCATTTGTAACACACAAAGTTTATAAATTTGCTATAAAAGTTCACCGAGTCTTGACATTTGCCACTCTCAGGGTTTTCTGCCAAGACCTTTGGGTACACAATCATTAATATGTTCATTATTGTTAATTAATATGCTCATCAATAATAAATAGCACAGAAATCTTGGCAGGAACTTCACTGAACCATGGAGTCCCCTCCCGGCTGCCGAATGTCTGGGTCAAGGATTAATTTCCAATTGACCAAGTCTGTAAATCAGTGAGTGGCTGATACATTACAGGCAGTGCTCTGAGACAGGAGAGAGTGGGGCACTGCATAACTTAATTCAAGGAATTAAAACTGACAGGATTATACTACAGAAGCTTTCTAACAGTGAAATAAGTACAGTCTCTTTTTTTTTTTACAGATTTTTGCTCCAATACCAACTTAAAAATAATTGCAAATTCAGTGCTGTTTACATTACCTCCTCAAACCTGGAAAAAAAAATTACTGTGAAATAGTATTCAGGCCTATGAATAAAGCATCTGCAAAACTTAACTTCCCAGCTCAGGAAATAGTATTTTGCAATAATT